ATTTGGTTAGCAACGCTCCACTGGCATGCGAATGGAGAGGAAATTACCTCGCTGTCTAATTGTTTTGCAAGCATGGTCATTTGCTTGATGACCAGTCTGGGGGCTAGCTCAGAGAGCTTGACGATGAACTGCGAGACAGACTTGGGTCCCTTGGTGTCGTTGGAGTTGAACTCCTTGTTACTGAGTTCGCGGAGGATTTCATCGGCAAGCTGTGGGTAGTCGTAGGTCTCGGCGAGGATGTGGAGGAACTCAGCCATGGGCTCGGAAAGGTGCTCGAAGTATGTGAGGTTCTGGACGATGGAGATCTGGGCGGCTGTTGGGAGTTAGCATAAGTGCGCAAGAAAGCGCGGCAGGAAACGACGAACCGTATGCGTGGCCGTGGTGCTTGACGGCGATGCAGAGCACCTTGAAAGCGTGCATGCGGATGGATGTGCTCTTGACGCGCTGTTCGCTCTCGAGGACCATGTAGACGGGTCGGGTCAACAGGCCGATGAAGGTATCCCTTTCGGAGGTTGTGAGGAAGATCTTGGTTAGCTTGAGCTTGAGGACTTTGCTCATGATGTCGAGAGCAGACTGCAGTTGGGTGGCCGAGTCCCATACGCCGTCCTTGTCTCTTGGCGCATTCTTCTTTGGCTTGCCGCGACCTCTTGTGACTGGTGCTGTTGAGGACTTTTCGGCGGCCTTTGTCTCGACAGCGGCGATGGTCCACTGCAAGAGGAAGCCGTAGATCTCGAGAAGCTGCTTGTGGTGGGCGAGTGTCTCCTGTTCGTCGGGAGACTCGAGGTCGTGGTTTATCGCATCACCCTCGGCTGCCAGACCTGACATGATCAAGTCGAAGATCTTGCTAAGAACCTGTGGCGGGAGGAAGGCGGTGTACCTAGAGGAGTTGAGGAGCTCAGAATGGCGTTCTTTACGGGACGTGGAAGTAGAAGAGGAAGAGGAAAAGGAGGACAACAAAAGAGAGGGATCTGAAGGATGAGGGGAGACGGGTGCGCACTTTAGGAGGAACTGCAGTGAGTCGAGATGGGCACTGCGGGTGATGGCCTCGGGGTTCTCGGCGACGGCATCAACGATGGGGTTGAGAACCGGGTTGATGACAGCGGCGGTAAGGCCTTCGGGATCATTTTCGTAGTCGAAGAGTGAGCCATCGGCTTCTGGGGTTGGAATACTGGCGGGATCGCTCATGTAATGCTTGAGCGCATCGTTGATATCGAATGCGACCGAGTCCATGGCTGCGGTCTGGTCGAGGTGTGCGCACCCAGCGACGTAACGCGATGGAGAGGCGGGGAGGAGGGGAAAGAAGATGGAAATCAAAAGGATGAAATAGAACGAGAGGAGGGGTCAAGGTCAAGGTCAAGGTCAGTCGGTGTCTGTGGCCAGCCGTGGTGTTCTCGTGTGGCCTGGTGTGGTGTTGTGTTGCAAGTTGCTGGTGGGTTAGTAATGCACAGCGCCAAAAGAGGAAGCGAAGGAAGGCGAAGGAAGCGCAAAAAAACGGCCTGTGATGTTGACGATGTGTTTTGGCCTTGCTTGTGTGTGTAATCCGTCAGTGTACTTTGTAAAGTAAGTATGTACGTGTGTAATTAATCAGCAGATGGGAGAGTGGAGGTGGGATGAATGCGCCTAGCAACCAAGTGGGAATTTGTTTATTGTTTTCTTTTGCGCTCCGACGCGACCGGCAGTGTCTGGCAGTTCCATCTGCCACTTCTTGGGGGGGGGGAAGTCACTTTTTTCTGAGGTGCGGGGTCAAAATAAGCGAGATGATTGGTCAGCGGACTGTTTTCCAGGGGACCATCTCACTGACCACGGCCGCTGTGCCCCTCCATTGCTCCTGTTTGGTGCCATTTGGGTCCATTCGGGGTTCATCCTGGGACCACCCGCGATGTACCTTTTAGGTGGTAGATACCTAGGTACCTTACTTGTACTCGGGGCAAGCCGCAAAAGGACGAATGCGAAGAAAGCCCAGAGAGAAAAAAGAGCCCGCCGACGTGCATCAGATGGGACGCACCAGACCAAAAGAAATCCCAAAAGATTCCCACCTTCATCTATTCACCTGTTCACCTGCTGCCAGATGCAAAGAAAAAGAAATTCCAAAAAACAAGAAGCGTCCAATTATACCCTTGGTCACCTCCCAAGACACCCGGACACCTCACCATACATCAGTCCTTACCTCGTACGCTGCAGCTGCAGACTGCAGAGCACCTACCTATCTCAGGACCGACCTCAGGTACCTCTACCTCGCTATACCTACGTCGCCGTACCAATTCGTTTGAACAGCAAAGAAGTCGACTGTTGTCCAAACTCTACCGAATAATACAACAAACCATTCTCTCAATTCCCTTCCACCACAGCCTCGGATGACGCAGTGTACGACCCAGCGAGATTCCTCAGCTGGCCTCACTCAACCCAACCTGGATGCCATCGATCAATTGACTCGCTTTGGCCAGACCCTCGACGTCCAGGCCTGGCACCGGCACGATTGGGCAACAACACCAACGCCAACTCCGCCGCCACAACACCAAAGCCGCCAGACACACCACCACCACCACCCTCCTCCACAACCACCACAAACACAATCACAACCACCACACCAACAACACCAAAGCTTTCTGCAGCAAAACTCTCAACACCACCACCACCATCACCAAACTCAATCACGCACCCACCACTCACAGACATACCAAGCTTCTTCAACGACAGTCCCGGCCCTAGACACTGTCTCGAACCGTACACGCGCGCCCTCTCCCTTCCATGCCCCGGCACTCACCTCTACCGCCCCGGCAGACGTGCGATTGGCCCACCGCCCCATGACTGCAGAGTCGAGACCACAGCAGCACTCCATGGCCACTGCCACTGCCACTGCCACGCGCAAACGCAGCCGCGACGACTTTGAAATCCACCAAGATCCCCCCCACGCCCGCACAGAAGACACCGAGATGATGGCCGAGTCCGAACAACACACCGAAGAGGTCGAGGACGACGAGGATGAGGTCGAGGTTGAGGATCCGTCCGACGAGAGCTCCGATGAAGACGAGGTAGTCGACACGGGTGTCCAACGCGACATGGACCGTTTACAAGATACCTTTCCCGGTTTCCCCCAAAGATATCGCCTAATCAAGAGGATCGGTGAAGGTATGTCACTCTCATGTTGCTCTCCCCGTCTGTTGTTTCTTACCAACACCCCCGCTCCTCTCTGTAGGCACCTTCTCGACAGTCTACAAGGCAGAAGACCTCCAATACGAATTCTATGATAATAGCTGGGATCTCGAAGAGAAGGACAATCTCGCTGCAAAGTGGACATCCCCGCCTCTGAAGCCCAACGCCACCAACACCTCAGTAACCCGCGAACGTCGCCGCGCCCGATACGTCGCCATCAAAAAGATCTACGTCACCTCGAGCCCCAACCGCATCCTCAACGAGCTCGAGCTCCTCCACGACCTCAGAAACTGTGCCGCCGTCTGCCCCCTGATCACAGCCTTCCGGTCCACGGATCAGGTCATTGCCATACTGCCCTACTTCCGCCATGAGGACTTCCGCGATTACTTCCGCCAGATGAAGGTCTCTGACATGGCCATCTACCTCCGCAGCCTGTTCACCGCCCTCAGGGCTGTCCACGAGCACAAGATTCTCCACCGCGATATAAAACCAACAAATTTCCTCTACGACCCTCAGTCGCGTCGCGGTGTGCTGGTCGACTTTGGTCTCGCTGAACGCGAAGGTTCCGACAGCAAACCTTGTCTCTGCCACGAGAGCAAAGACGTCCGCAAGCAGAGAATCACCAACAGCGCGGCATCCCAAAACGGCCCTCAACAGGGCTACCCCAAGACAGATACTCGGCCGTCCAGAAGGGCGAACCGTGCTGGCACGAGAGGTTTCCGTGCCCCCGAGGTGCTTTTCAAGTGCACCGAGCAGACGACCAAGATCGATATCTGGTCAGCCGGGGTTATCCTTTTAACAATCATGAGCAAGCGATTCCCCTTTTTCAACAGCGCCGACGACGTCGAGGCCATGATTGAGATCGCCACCATCTTTGGTGTCAAGCGTATGAAGCAGTCTGGCCTGCTCCACGGCTGCATGTTCGAGACCAACATTCCCACCGTCGGCAACGCAGGATTCTCGCTGGGAAAGATCATTCTCTGGTCTACGTGCCGCACCGATGGCGGTAAAGACGGTCAGCCTGGCATTCCCCTGACAGACGAGGAGAAGCTGGCCGTCGATTTCCTAGAGCGATGCATGGAGCTCGATCCTGCTCGACGCATCAGTGCCAAGGATGCGTTGGAGCACGAGTTCCTACGGGAGCCTAAGCCTAAGCAGTCGGTGGAGGTGGATCACGATGACGATGAGATGGATATGCTAGAGGCGTAATGATAATGTTTTGACACCAAAGGAAAAGAAAGATTTCGATACCAATGGTGAGTGATTTAGGCCACCTTAAGTGAGGAACGGATGGTTGATGGAGTCAGACATGTATATGTATAAACACTGGACGAACATATGGGATTTGGGAGTACTCCGTACAGAGGTAGGCATATGCCTGAAGGTGATGGAGAGGCGAGGGCTTGGGAAAAGCATGCATCATGTTGTACGGCATAAGACACACGGAACACGCATATACAAAAGACAAGACGAGACGAGTAGACGTAAAAAGTAATACCATTTCAAATCGTATCCCGTCCGCCTTATGGAAAACCCAGACACGCCACTAAACATAAGATCCCGGGATATCATCAAAGCCATGAACTTTTTGATTCTGGAAGAGCCTTTCGTTTTTTTATTCGTCAAACTCCTTGGAGGTCGGATCATGATGTAAAAATGAAGAACCGTTTTCCTTGGCCCTTTTCCCGTGCACCCGCAAAGCTTTTGAGCTGCGGGTGACACATTCGCAGAACGCCGTCCGCTTGATGACCCGTGACTATCTCATGTAGCCATCATTGTATTTACCCCCCCAAAGAGTGCTGCACATCATCCGTCCAAGAGTTGGTATGATTTGGATTTGACTGAACTTATGCGACGAGCTCAACGACACCACCGGCCTCGGTGATCTTCTTCTCGGCCAGCTTGGAGACCCAGCGGGCCTTGACGACAATGGGGACCTCGGGGAGGCGGCCCTTGCCGAGGACCTTGGAGTAGCCGAAGGGGAGGAGGTCGATGACGGGGACCTTGTCGCCCTTGCCGGCGAGGTACTCCTCGCGCTTCTCAGCGGGGACGAGGGTCCAGAGCTTGTCCAGGTTGATGACGGGCTTCCAGAAGTGGCTGCAAACGTGTTAGATGGGATCTTTGGGGTATCAGGACGGGAGAACATACGCTTGCTGCTTGTGGAAGTAACGCATACCAACCTTACCGAAGTAACCTGGAAGAGCGAATTAGCAAAGCGGTCATAATGACATTGGAGAGATGGAAAACATACCGGGATGGTACTTGTCGAGGTTAGTGCGGTGGTGGTGCTGACCACCGGCCAGACCACGACCACCGGGGTGCTTGCGGTGCTTGCCAACACGTCCGTGACCGGCGGAGACGTGTCCGCGGCTACAGAGAGAAAAAGAGAAAGTCAGCTTCCGGGTACATTTGGAAACGAAGACAATTCTCGCAGGATCGCAGAATGGCAGAGTTGGTGGTACCACGCCAGTCCCGTCCTCACATCTCTGCGTGTTTCAACACAGAGGGAAGAGTCCAGAACTGGTGTGATGACCTCCTTTTTGCTGGGGAAGCAATGCTGACGCCCTTGTTTTCAACATGCTAAACCCCCTCTGAACCATCGCGCCTGCATGGCATAAAGCCAAAAAGACATCATTGTATGTGTTCCTTCTTTTTCATCCTTCCCATCCCTCACGACGGTTCGCTGGCCGTATCAAGCCATCGAAATAGACTGCGCGCGCGCGATACCGTCGACGAGGGATAAAGACCAGATTTATAGAGTCGGAGCGGAGCGGGATTGGTAGACGTACTGCTTGCGGGTGCGCGAGAATCGGGTAGGCATGGCGTCGGCTGTGGGAGTGGTCGACTTTGGTGGTTAGTATCGCTGAGGAACTTCCTGTCGAAAAGTTCGCAAGCAGGAAATTTGTGATGGTGGTGGTGGCAGGCTGGCGGCAGAGCTTCGGGCAATTGGCGGGGCGGAGGGCAGCCAGCCCTAAGGTTGTTTCCCTGGCTCTGGACTAGGAATGAGGGTATTATGTCAGCATCGCATTCTCGCCTGGTCCTCTCAGTTTTTCCCAAGACCCCACCCTGCTGCATCCGGCCTAGTGCATTGCTCACCGAGCTCTTGACCTTTGCCTTGGACAGGACTGGTCCATGCCCCCTCCTCACCGAGGTGAGCTTGATTGGTATGTTTTCCTTTGATGCTGGCCAATGCACCTGGCAACCGTGAGCACTTGCATCCCGCAAATGCGTGTACGTTCGTCGACGATCTGACACTCAAAATACTGTACCCACGAATATTCGGATGCTAGTTTCAAACGGAGTACCCGAGGCCTGACTCTCATCGCGTAATAGCTCGCTCCTAGGGCTTCAAGGCGCTTGCTTGCCTATCTCTGATGTCACTTCGTCATGGCGGACAGCGCCCCCAGTGACATGACTGTCCCGGACGGCATTGACTTCAACCATCCTTACACACCTTATGATGTGCAGACTGATTTCATGAAAGCGGCCTATGGCGTATTGCAGCAGGGAAATGGACAGGTCGGCATCCTTGAGAGCCCAACAGGCACGGTGAGAAGTGATCAACAGCACTTCTAGACACCCAGGTGCTAACACCTCTTTTAGGGCAAATCGCTTTCGCTCATTTGCGCTTCAATAACATGGTTGCGGAATCAGCGTGTTGAGGAACACGAGGCATCCCTCAAAGTCAACATGGACGACTTCAAGGATGAGCCCGACTGGATTGTGGAGCAAATGCTGCGCCGGAAAAGAGATGAACTCGCCCGCACCTGGGAAGAGCGAGAGAAGAAGTTGGAACAGATCCGTCAAAAAGAACAGGCTATTGAAGCTCGCAGCGCCAAGCGACGCCGCTTTGACGATGGCCCCTCGAGATCGAAGCCTCGTGCTCTCGAAGTTGAGGAGGATGACGAATGGTTGCTTGATGAGCCAGACGCAGCCGGGTCGGCCAATGGCGGCGACGCCATGAGTGGTCTGAGCAAAGAGACAAAAGACATCCTGTCCAGGTTCGGCTTGGGAAGTCTCAACGCCGATCAAGAGGAGGACAAGGTCGAGGATGGAGTCAAGGTGCGCAGTGCCCCTGTTGTTGCCGGGTACCTTAGTAACATGAATTACATCAGATATACTACACATCAAGAACGCACTCGCAACTCACCCAGTTCATCCATGAACTGCGACGACCATCCTTCCCATCATCCGTACCTCAGTCGATTGTGCGACGCCAAAGTGAAGACGACCACCCTGCCAAAGAACCAGTCAAACACCTGCCCCTATCGTCACGCCAGAAACTCTGCATCAACCCCTCCGTATCGCGCCTTGGCAGCTTATCCGCCATTAATGACCGTTGTGCGGAACTCCAAAAGCCAAAGTCAAAGGACAAGTGCCCTCACGTCTTGAAAGAAGATAATATTGCCGAGACGCATCAGTTCAGGGACACCGCCCACGCCACGTTGCCTGACATCGAAGACCTGTATCATCTGGGGAAGAAGCTGTCCATCTGTCCGTACTATGCATCACGCGCGGCGATTGCTGGTGCCGAGATCGTCACTTTACCGTACCCCTTGCTGCTACAGAAGAACGCAAGAGATGCACTCGGTATCAAGCTAGAGGGCAACGTTGTTATTGTCGACGAGGCGCACAATATCATGGACGCTGTAGCCAACGTATATGCATCCGAGGTGAAGCTGAGCGAGCTGAGGAGGGCACGACAGATGCTCGGTATCTACGTCAGGAAGTTTGGCAAGAAGCTGAAGGGAGAGAACCGAGTCATGGTCGGGCAGGTGGGCAGAGTCGTCGAGGGTCTCAGCGAGTGGATGGACGGGCAATTGAAGGTCAAGGTAAGTCGCAACGCTTGAGGCCTTTTATTTGCGTTAACTAACATGTTGCAGAGTACCCAGGGCATCGTCGACTCCAAAGTTCTCCTCCGCTGCAAGGGAGTAGATCAGATCAATCTGTTCCGCCTGATTCAGTACATCCAGGAGTCAAAACTCGCCTACAAGATTGAGAGCTACGTAGCCCATGTCGAAGAGGAAGCCTCCGATGCAGGCCACGTCAAGGCATCACCGAGATCTTCCACGCCTGTCCTCCACATATTATCCTCCTTCCTGATATCTCTCACCAACCTTAGCTCCGAGGGACGCATTTTCTACGAGAAGCTCACTACGAATCCGCCAGATATCCAACTTTCCTACCTGCTACTGTCACCAACGCACGCCTTCTCAACCATTGCCACGAGCGCCAGAGCGGTCATCCTCGCCGGCGGCACTATGTCTCCATTTGACGACTACAAGGACCATCTCTTTCCCTATCTTTCCACCTCAAAACTTACGACCCTCAGCTGCGGGCACGTCATTCCCCCCTCTAACCTCTGTGTCTGGACCCTGGCAGGCACACAGCCCGGCCCAAATCGGGACACCAATTCCACATTCGAGTTCAGCTTCCAGCGCAGGGCTGACAAGGCCATGGTAAGCCAGCTGGGTCTGGCCATCTTGAACATGTGCAACGTCGTGCCTGATGGTGTGGTCGTGTTCTTCCCCAGTTATGGGTACCTCGATGAAGTCGTTGCAATTTGGGATAGCCGGGCTGCTGGGGAGCCCAAGTCAATTTGGCAGCGCCTTCAGGAAAGAAAACAGGCATTCAAAGAAACCCGCGGCGGATCCAGCGACGAGGTGCTGGAGGCGTACAGCCAAGCCATTTTAGGTGATGAAACCGACAGAAAACCGGGAGCGCCACCCAAACCTCGAGGTGCCCTGCTACTCAGTGTAGTCGGCGGTAAGATGAGCGAGGGCATCAACTTCTCCGATCGCCTGGGCCGCTGCGTCATTATCGTAGGTCTGCCATACCCAAACATCAACTCTCCCGAATGGAAGGCAAAGACGGAATACATCGAAACCACGACTGTCCAACGACTGACGGATCCCGCCGGCGCGACGAAGATGTCGAGAGACGAGGCGTTGGTGGTCGCGAAACAGGCGGCTAGGGACTTTTACGAGAACGCTTGTATGCGAGCCGTCAACCAGAGTATCGGGCGGGCCATCAGGCACATGGGTGACTATGCAGCCATCGTACTGGTGGATCGCAGGTACGGAACGGAGAGGATTCGGGGCAAGCTTCCTGGGTGGATTCGGGGCGGTATGCATGGTGATAGTCACGAGAAGGGGCTGCCTCAACTGATGGGAGCCCTGAGTGGGTTCTTTCGGTCGAAGAGGACTGGAGCATCGTGATGGTTCGTTGGCGTCATAGGCATCGTTGATGTATACTATCTAGTGTATAGACCGTATCGTATATGCTCATGGGCTGGCGACTTTCCTGTCATGATGAAGTCCACGTGAGGAAGCCAACTGAACCGAAGTACACGTAGGAGAGCACCAGATAAGCCTCCCATCTATTCCCAGACCCCAGCCTAATCTTACCGGGCGCAAGGATGCGCTCAGAGCGCAGCTCTGGACACTGAGCTAAGTACTGGGCTCCAACAGTATCGATCTTGATCACGGGAGTCTCGAAACGACAAGAAGTCGAGGCTGGCCTTATGAGGATCACGTGGTGTAGCAGGCAGCGTTGAATCATGTAATTTCTGGTGCAACCCGGCAATTATAGTAATGTATCGCATGCCGCGGCAGTAGACTGCAGGCAGGGAATGATGAATCATGGCATTGTATTCCAGGTCGAGCGGCGAGGCTATATAAAGACCATCGAGTGGGTTCCTGTCACCAGCCTGCAGGCGGCACCCTAGGTCGGGGGATCAGGACAAACTAGCTGGGTGGTGGACTCCTTTTAGGCCCTCTATGTATCACCGCATCTGTTTAGTATTAGAGTGTTTCAAGTCTGGATATGCAAAAGATCTATTTGTGGTAGTCAGGGGGTTTGCGAATTATTCAAGGTGTAAATCACGATTCTAAAACATTTGACAAGCAGTAAAAAAAGTTAAGAGATACTTGATGAAAGGACATTCCATCTGAGTCAATCTAGAATCGGCAATTATACAGTTACAAAAGGCAAAGCCACTAATTTGATAAAGGAACGACTTAACGTTGGCTTGAAATATAGGAGAACATCGGCGGAAGGAGCTCCCGTCATTGACTCCCGGAGCGGCACTCCGGCGAATATTGCAAGCTCATTGGACGAGAGGCCTTCTGCTGTTATGTCAGCAGGGGAATCGTTATGTCAGCAGTCATACGGCACCAGTCCCCTGTGGCACCCCCGCTTGATCCCCATAACGGTACCTTAGTGGCGTAAGCCGTAGTGAATCTCATTCTTGATTTTCCTCTTTCCATCCCACCTCAAATGCGACTGTTGCTGTTCAAATTCGCGGCCTCGTGTTACCCTACCGTAATTCGGTTGCCTGAAATGGCGTCTATCCCGTGACTCACTGCAACGAAACAATGAGGCTCTTGAGCACTGTTCATGAAAGCCGTCATAAGAAACGGGCAGGCTATTGAACCAGTCACTCCCTCACTGAACAAGAAGCTGATTGTCATGACTCTCAGAGGTGTACATCAGCCCTCTCTGGCACTCGCAGCGGGAGCCGACGTGGCATAGCTACCTACCTACCTTACACCCCGCAGTTCTGGTGTTTTTGAGGTTCCATAGTGAGAATCCTACGCTACCTCGTCTAGTATTCTCTGCATACGCCGTCTCGCCGCGATATCCACCGGGCCCCAATGAGCTGACGAGCTGACCTCAGTGACCTTGACCTGAGCAGGGCTTCGTCTTGTCGGTTATGTCACGCGTCGCGGTGACGGTTTGCAGCTTGCGGCTTGCCATGCATTCACCGCCTCATTTCGCCTCGTCTGGCCTGGCCTGAACAGCCTTGACTCTGAACAGCCT